CTTTCTCCGCTGGGTGACCTATGTGCATCTTCCAGCCTCCCTCTCTCTCAGAGCGTTTCCACTAATCAGGCTATGGCACACCAGACTCCTGTCTTGGCACCCACTTCTCGGAGTTAACATACTTAATGGAAAATTAAGGAATCTGTCAGTTACTCATATGATAAATTCTTTGTATATTTCAGCATTCACTACCAATCAGCTGACCCCCCCCATACCATCACAATACAAAAGATGAGCTACCAGAAGATAGAATAACAGAAATCGTTCAGAATGTATCTTTAAAAAAGACTTGTAGAAATAAACAGCATCACTATGTTTTTGGATATTTAAATTCAATGTCATGAAGATTTCAGTGCTTCTTACGTACTTTAGGACTTGAACATAATCCTCAGAGAAATAGCAATAGATTTTGTTTCACAAAGTAGATGCACAGATTATCAAGTTTGTATGGAAAAATTTCAGATGCCTGGACGGTCTGACCCAGCAGTCCCAGCTCAGGGAAATGAGAGCTACAAGTAAGTTATTGTAACATTGTTTAACATGACAAGACTGGAAACAATGAAATACCCATCAGCAGTGGACTGCTGGGGTAGAATCTGAACCAATCTATACAATGAAATGTGCTATCCTGCTCAAAAGAAAAAAGAAAAGAAAGAAGAGAAACAAAGTTACCTACACACTGATTCGCAAAGATCTTCAAGTCATACTGTTAAGTGAAAAAAAAATGGAAGACTGTATATAGTATGCTACACTTTGTGTATAGAAAGAAAATAAAAATATGCAATCATATCTGTCTGCATTTGCAAAAAGAAGGTCTGGAAGTTAACGAAACTAATAAAAAATGGTTAATTCTGGTCGGGGATGATGGAAACTATACATAGTGAGAGCAAAGGTAAAAAGCAACTTTGTCTTTGAACCATGCACGTAAATTACCTGTTCCGGATAATCACATAAGTGTATCTCCAAAATGGGTGACTCAGTCCTTAAGTGTCTGCCTTCAGCTCGGGTCATGATCCCAGGGTCCTGGAATCCAGGCCCGCAGAGGGCTCCCTGCTCAGCAAGAAGCTTGCTTCTCCCTCTCCCACTCCCCCTGCTAGTGTTCCCTCTCTCGTTGTGTCTCTGTCAAGTAAGAAATAAAATCTTTAAAAAAAAAATGCCACTGGGATTTCACACTGACTAGAATACTATTTCATGCTCTCCAGTTTGGCAAAAATTAAAAAGCCTGGGAAGTGCCAAGTGTGGTGAGGGTGTGGGGTGTCTCCACACCTTTCCAGTGTCTGTGTAAACTGGCTGAACTCCATCAGAAAAGAATAGAATCTAGTAAGTTTCAACTCCGAATATCCTATGATCTGCAAGTTTCTCCCCTTCCTACATAGCTGAGAAAGGATGCATAGGTTCTCAAAAATGTGTGCAAGAATATTTGTGGCAGCATTAGTTATGAGAGAAAACACCTGATGTCTCTCCGAAGCAGAACAGTTAAGCTGTATCCCTTCATGTGAGTGCCATACAGTAGTGGGAAAGGATGGACCCACGACACGTATAAAAACCACAGTGAGCCTCGAAGACCTGAAAGTGAACAAAAAACTAGAGAGCATGAGTCCACTCACAAAAATTTCAAAACTGGCAAAACTAGATTAGATCTTGTTTAGAGGAAATACTATATTACAAGTATGCCCCAGACTTGTATCCTACATTCAAGGATGTCATTATTCCTCAGCAAAGGAGGAAGGGGCCCTTTGGAGAGGGGAACTCTGGGGGACTGGTATTGTCCTCTCACCTCCAGATGGAACAAAATGTTTAGTTTCAGCATTTAAATATATCTACATATAAATGCATTTTTTTGTATGTAGAATATATTTGATGGGGTTTTTTTTAAAGGTTAAAAAAAACAGTTCTTTCAAAGATTAGTGAAGCAGACACCTCTGGCATAGTAAATGAGGGGAAAAAAATCACATGAAAAGAAATCTTGCTACTGATGAGGAGGAAAGAATAAAATAGTAAAAGACTATAAACAATTTAAACTTCGGAATCTCACTGAAATGGAAAGATTCTGGGGAAACAGTCACTTTAAAAACCTCACTCGTGAAAAGGAAGAAAACCTGAACAGACAAATTACTGTGAAAGACTAAAAAATTTATCAAAGAATTACTTTGCAAAAACTCCTGCACCAGACAGTTCTGAGATTTAGTACTTTCCAAATTTCAAGGGACTAAAATCCCTATGCTATTAAAATTGTTCCAGGCTTAGAAAAATATGAATACATTTTTTCATTTTGTAAAGCCAACATAACCCTGATTCCAAAATGTGAGAAGTGGAGAAAAAAATTATAGTAAAATTGGAAAGTCATGTAAAATCTTTTTTTTTTTTTAAAGATTTTATTTATTTATTTGACAGAGATCACAAGTAGGCGGAGAGGCAGGCAGAGAGAGAGGAGGAAGCAGGCTCCTCGCTGAGCAGAGAGCCCGATGCGGGGCTTGATCCCAGGACCCTGGGATCATGACCTGAGCCGAAGGCAGAGGCTTTAACCCACTGAACCACCCAGGTGCCCCGGAAAGTCATGTAAAATCTTAAATAATATATTATTAGACCAAACAAGCAGCAGAATTAAGAGAATTACTCACAATGACCAAGTAGGATTTAGCCAAGAAATGCCAAGATCATTATTATAAGATCTATTAATGCAACATCTCATATGAATATATTTAAGGAGAAAATAGGAACAATCATTTTAATGGAGAAAGAAAAAAGCAGTCAATAACATTCCAAGTACATTCTATAATCCCAAAACTTGTTTTGGGGGGAAATTAGAAATAGGAGATTTTTTAACATAGTAAGACTTTATATCTTAAGCTAACTATCAACATTATCCTTAAAAGTGAAAAACTAATAAGACCTCTTACTAAAACCAGTATCAAAAGGAAGCAAACAAGATACTTATCATTATTACCATTTAGCATTTTCCAAAAACTCTCAACAATGCAATTGGCATGAACCATGAAGAGATATGATTATTGAAAAGATGACAAAATTATCACTTTGTACAATAATGCTATTTTATCTTTATAAAACTCCAGAAATTTTTTTTTTTCTAAACAGGGAGAGAGAGGTGATGCAGATGAAAAGAGAGAGAGTATCTTAAGCAGGCTCCACATTGATCTCGGAGCCTAACATGGGGCTCCATCTCACAACTCTGAAATCGTGACCTGAGCCAAAATCAAGAGTCAGTCTCTCAACTGAATGAGCCCAAGCACCCCAGAGAATCTATTTTTAAAATATATCTTTTAAGTAAGCTTTATTTTTTTTTTAAGATTTTATTTATTTGACAGAGAGAAACACAGCAAGAGAGGGAACACAAGCCAAGGGAATGGGAGAGGGAGAAGCAGGCTCTCTGCTGAGCAGAGAGCCTGATACAGGGCTCAAACCCAGGACCCTAGGACCATAACGTGAGCCAAAGTCAGATGCTTAATGACTGAGGCACCCAAGCACCCCTTAAGTAAGCTTTATAACCTAACTTCATAGAGGATTTTTTTTTCAATTTATATATTTCATATATATCAATAATAATCCATATAAAAACAAAAAAAAATGAATTTACAGAGGTATCCAAAACATAAAATTCTGTGGGGGAAAAACATTTTGAAGAATAAGTGGGATCTACAAGGGTATGCTACCAAATTTGCTGAAAAATAACAATAAGCATTTTTAATTTATAGGCAAAAATATTTATGTATGAGAAATTAATACATTAATTCTTCTGAAATTAATTTATGGGCTTAATAAAATCCTAGTTACATTCCTAATGGAATTTGCTTGGAAATTAATTATTGGATTCTTAAGTTCACCTTGGGGGAAAAGTGGAAATAATATAAACAAAATAGATTCATGAGAAAACAGCTGAGAACTTTGTAGTAAGAATGATTAAGGAAGAATTTTCTTGGGGCACCTTGGTGGCTCAGTCTGTTAAATATCTGCCTTCAGCTCAGGTCATGATTCCAGGGTCCTGGGATCAAGCCCCACATTAGGCTCCCTGCTCAGTGGGGAGTCTGCTTCTCCCTCTGCCCCCCACCCTGCTCCTGCTCTCTTTCCTTCATTGTCTCTCTCTCAAATAAATAAATAAAAATCTTTAAAAAAAAAAAAAGTTTTCCTACAGAAATTAAATGAATCAAAACATGCAAACATCAGAATTGCGTGATAAAAGCCAAAGAAGAAACACTGTGACAAGAGACTAATAAATAGGATGGGTTCCTCACGGAGAAGGGAAAACCCACCAATCGACAAGGAAGTGAGAGGTCACCCAGGACACTGTACTGGTGAGATCACTATCGGGTAAGGGGAATAAAAATCGCAACTTCAACTGAACCACTAAAAACACATTCTACCCTGATACAGAGGTAGGAGTACAAATAAGAAATCAGAAATCTAGGGGAACACATAGGGGCGAGTGTTCAACTATCTTCAATTAGCCCAGACTTCTTCACCAAGCCCTGCCTCCCTCTTCACCTTCCAGTTCCAGCCCATCAGCATGCCCCACAGAACTGAGTTCTCATGCTTATCTCTGACGCGGTCCCATTTCTCTGACTCCATGCCACTCCCCCCCTGGACCACTATGGTAATCTCCATAGGTCTTCCGGATTTATATTCCTCCAACCCATTCCCCATCCAGCTACCAAAGTCACCTTCATCACACACAAATTAATTTGCTTTACCACTCTGTTGACTTGCCATCCTGACTATCAATTGCCCATAGTATACATTCAAAAATCTAAAAACCCGTGTTATATGATCCCTCACTGTCTCTCCCATCCCAGTTTTGCTGGTGTCCCTTTGCTCACTCTACTGATCTAGCTATCTTGGCTTCATCAGTTTCTCAAATGTGAGAAGCTTGGGAAGAAAACAAAACCAGGCAATGAAAGAAATAGTCAAGAGAAACGATTGATAGATTTGATTACTTAAAACTTTAAAACCTCTCTACATAAAAACCATCTTTGAAAAAAATCATCATGAGTAAGCTGATGACAGATGACAAAGGGAGTGTGGGGGAAAGGATTTGCAACAAACAACTACACAAGGATTCCAATGCACCACTGTTCAACAAGGCTGTTCAAGTTGGTGAGATAAGAACACAGATTTCTGTCGGCACATCACAGATTTCTGTTGGCACGCGGTCTGGACTACACCCAGGCAATTCACCAAATAATGCTTAAAATAGATAAAAGTGTGAAAGATTTTCTTCCTTTAGTTAGTCAAAGTGATCAAAGTTTGAACTACAAGACAGCATTTCTCACCTATTGCTTTGGTAAATATATTTTCTCTGTTTAGAAATGTTTTCATTGAGCTACAATTTACATAAAGTATGCCAATGTTTGGCATAGAGCAGTCTTACTTCTCATATAGTTTTTATAGCCATGTAACCACACCCAGATCACAATATAGAACATTTCCTCCACCCCCCTCTCTGCCCCTGGAGCTTCCTTGTCCTTCCTCCTAGTTAATGCTCCCCCCCATAAGAAGCAACCCCTATTCTTCTATCTCCAAAGTTTAGTTTTGCCTCTACTTGAACTTGATTAAAAACAACATTTCATACAATGTATCTTTTCTGTACCTGCCTTGTTTTGCTCAACAAAATCCCATGGGGTTGCAATGATCACGAGTTGCCTTGTCTCCTGTTTAAACGTGCTGTGGGGTATCCTGTTGTAAGAAACACTGCAAAGCATCTTTTCATTCTCCTGTGGTTGGACACCAGGGTTGTCCCACTGGGTCTAGTCTGAATAGATATGCTCTGAATGGTCTTGTACGTGTCTTTGGGTGGGCATAGGTATTCATTTTTCTTACACAGAGACCTTGCAATGAATCACCTGGGTCTAGATAAGACGTATGGCTTCAGTAGATAATGCCAAACAGATTTCCAAAGTCATTATACCAAGGATTGGAGCACAAGATTTCTAAAATGAAATCTGGTGCTCTTTCACTATAGTCATCAAGAGTGAAGATGGAAGACACCTTCCTTCCTTAACTTTTCTTTCCTTCTTCTCTCTCTCTCTCTTTCATCTCTTTCTTTCCATCCCATAAACTCCCTGCTCAACCTGTCTGCATCCCCATCCGTTCCCTCCTCTTCCCACACCTTTTCAGGCCACTTACAGGTGGAAGACATTCCAGGCCTGAACAAGCCCATAAACTCGATTCTGAGCTCCCTGTATTAGCAACTGCCTAATTAGGGGCACGATTTGTGGTCCAGTGAAATCTCCACCGGCTCTAATGTGTCTGCTGGAGCCTCACTTCTGCGAGTAATTACCTTCAACTTCCAGTTAACAGAAGGGCAAGAACATCTGTCTCAAGAGTGATGAGAAAGACCCTGCCCAGGGTCCTCTGGACCTCAAATGTGAAGCAGGGAGCCAGCAGAAAACCTCATTAAGTAAGTCATCCTTTACTTACGCCCAGACAGCTCCTCAGCTTCTCCCATTACCTCGGAAGGAAGGAAGGAAGGAAGGAAAGAAGGAAGCTGACTTGCTTTCTGCTTCTGGAGTCAGGTCTCTGTCCAGTATTTATTATTTAAATGGGAGAACAGGAAGAAAATGTGGTGTGGAGCTTAGATTTTTAAACATAAGGACATTGAGGCATGTTGTGAAATTAGTTGGTTCCTAATAATTAAAGGACTAGTCTCCAAGGGATTCCCTTTTCCAATAGAGAAAAGATGCAAGTCTTTCCTTAGAAGAGCATTCCTCTCATTTACAATTCCAACACCTTGCATTTAACTCTCTTTCTAGCACCTACCATGTGCTCAGCAGCAATGGGCACAAATGGGGAGGAAAACAGAAGCGGTCCCTATTATAGTGGTTCTACAGTCCAGGGACAGATTAATCAAGTAAGCTCTTGGCTCTTTGCTTAGTAGCTGTTTCATGTCGGGAAAGAAAGCAGAGAGCATGAAGGAGGAATGAGACTTATTTCAAAGGTCTTGAAATGGGTGGGAGGGTCAGGAAAGCTTCCTTTAGGAAGTGACAGTGACAATCTCCAGGATGAGTGAAGGTTGGGGTGTTGGAGGGCAAGCCACCAAATAGCCTGGGATGAGGGTGCTTTTGTGGTGGAAAAGAAAGCACCAGAATTACAGCAAGGCACTAAAAATGACTAGCCTCTCTGGTTGCTCCCATTAAAATATCACAAGCATGTGACAGTTTATCTAGTTTCATTTACTAGGGCGGGAAAAAAGAGAAACATGGTCTAGCCGCTCTTAGTTTTTGAGCATGTGCTATGTCTCAGGCACTGGAAGTCTCTTCTGGTTGGTCTCATCCTTATACTCATCATTTGGAGTTGGCCTTTCTATTACCCCAAATGTACAGAAGTGGAAACAGACACAAAGCAGTAAAGTAAACTTTATGAGGTTGCCCTATCATTAATTGCAGAGTGTTAAAAAAAAATTGAACTGGGTAAATTTTAAAGAAATTATTGTCTTTATTCAATGGTTTATGAATTGGGCAGCAACCCATCCAGGAAATAAAGAGTTACAAAGAGCTGCACAAAAGGAAATATTTTTATAAGCAAAAGGGGGTGGAACAAGCTAATTACTAGCAAAGAATGGACTGTTTCAGGCAAGGTCACCTTCTCTAGGGGATTGCAGTTGCTGTCAGGCAGAGACCTCACTAGTACTGACCAAGTGATTCTAGATGGACTTGTTTAAGATCCCACTCCTGGGAGAGCTTGAAACTGTAATTCAGTTAGGTATTAAGTCTTGGTTTGGTGACACAGGCTTAGCACTAGTGATTCCATTTTGAGCCTGTTGTCTCTTTTTAACAACCAAGTACACTAAGAGTCCTGTGCTCTACAGAAGCAGTGATAGCCATCATCAGTGTAGGCTTTCTCTCTAGCAGCAAATCTTCTGTCAGCCCCAGCAATTCTTATGAGACTTAATGGAGCCAAGAGGCTTCTTTCTGAGGCCACAGCTGGTGGTCCCAACCTTGCCCAGCCAACGTCTGAGACAAGACTCTCGGGAAAGGACCAGGGAAGTCTACAAACAGCATGAGGAGGGGCAGCCTCTACACTCAGCCTGATGTCACCCAGTGACGATGGATCAGGGTAGCCAGCATGAATTTATTCCATAAATTTCGGGTTTAAAAAAATATTTTGGGGTGGCCATTTTGGAGGCGGGGACGCGCAGCGGGAGCTCTTGCCGGTATCTTCGTGGTCTTCTCGGAGCGGTATTTTGCCGACTCCCATTACTCAGCAAGCCAGTTTGACATCTCTGGCCCAAGGACCGGGAACCACATCAGCCATTACGTTTCCAGAGGAACAAGAAGATCCTCGAGTTGGTAGAAGTCAGGATGAAGCATCTGCTGGTGGACTCTGGGGTTTTATTAAAGGTGTGGCCGGAAATCCTGTGGTGAAATCTGTGCTTGATAAAACAAAACATTCAGTAGAAAGCATGATTACAACGCTGGACCCCGGCATGGCTCCGTATATCAAATCTGGAGGTGAACTGGATATTGTAGTGACCTCAAATAAAGAAGTAAAAGTTGCTGCCGTCTGAGATGCCTTCCAGGAGGTCTTTGGCTTAGCTGTGGTCATAGGGGAAGCTGGACAGTCCAATATTTCCCCACAGCCGGTAGGCTATGCAGCTGGATTAAAAGGTGCCCAGGAACGGATAGACAGCTTGGGTCAAGCTGGAGTGATCCATGAAAAACAGACTGCTGTGTCAGTAGAAAACTTCATTGCAGAATTGCTACCTGACAAGTGGTTTGACATTGGCTGTTTGATAGTGGAAGACCCCGTCCATGGCATTCACCTGGAAACGTTTACACAGGCCACACCTGTGCCTTTGGAATTTGTACAGCAGGCTCAAAGTCTCACTCCCCAGGACTACAGTCTGAGGTGGTCAGGCCTTCTGGTGACAGTGGGTGAAGTCCTGGAAAAGAGCTTAATGAACGTGACGCGGACTGACCAGAGCAAAAATCAATGAAATAGAAACCAAAAAAACAATAGAACAAATCAACGAAACTAGGAGCTGGTTCTTTGAAAGAATTAATAAGATCGATAAACCCCTGGCCAGACTCATCAAAAAGAAAAAAGAAAGGACCCAAATAAATAAAATCATGAATGAAAGAGGAGAGATCACAACCAACACCAAAGAAATACAAACAATTATAAGAACATACTATGAGCAACTCTATGCCAACAAATTTGACAATCTGGAAGAAATGGATGCATTCCTAGAGACATATAAACTACCACAACTGAACCAGGAAGAAATAGAAAGCCTGAACAGACCCATAACCAGTAAGGAGATTGAAACAGTCATCAAAAATCTCCAAACAAACAAAAACCCAGGGCCAGACGGCTTCCCAGGAGAATTCTACCAAACATTTAAAGAAGAATTAATTCCTATTCTCCTGAAACTGTTCCAAAAAATAGAAATGGAAAAAATAGAAATGGAAGGAAAACTTCCAAACTCATGTTATGAGGCCAGCATCTATAAAGAGCTTAGCAAACTCAACACCCAAAGAAAAAATAATCCAATCAAGAAATGGGCAGAGGACATGAATAGACATTTCTGCAAAGAAGACATCCAGATGGCTAACAGACACATGAAAAAATGCTCCACATCACTTGGCATCAGGGAAATACAAATCAAAACCACAATGAGATATCACCTCACACCAGTCAGAATGGCTAAAATTAACAAGTCAGGAAATGACAGATGCTGTCGAGGATGCGGTGAGAGGGGAACCCTCCTACACTGTTGGTGGGAATGCAAGCTGGTGCAACCACTCTGGAAAACAGTGTGGAGGTTCCTCAAAAAACTGAAAATAGAGCTACTCTATGACCCAGCAATTGCACTACTGGGTATATATCCTAAAGATACAAACGTGGTGCTCCGAAGGGGCACGTGCACCCGAATGTTTATAGCAGCAATGTCCACAATAACCAAACTATGTATAGTACCTAGATGTCCATCAACAGATGAATGGATAAAGAAGATGTGGTATATATACACAATGGAATACTATGCAGCCATC